GCGATCGACTTGATTTATGACCGGGACACCTTTGAACGGTGTAGTGTGCCAAATGTGTTTCAAGTACCAAATTGCATAAAGTCATGATCCACTCTTGTTTACAGGCTAGATTCTTGGTGTTATTATTACTTAAATAGATTCTACAGGTCATTTAACCCATAGTCACTCACTGGAACCACTAGGCTAGCTCCACTCAGTCAAAAGTTATTTGATAAATCAGTTTTTTACTACAGTATAGTATAGTTGTCTTGGGTAGTACATAGTCTAGATTTATATATAAGTGCATAGTTGCAATCTTTGTTGGAACAGGCATATGTATGATCACATGTTTAGTCACATGCTTGGATCACACGTATTTTCACATGACATCACCAGCCACACGCTTGAATCACACGTATTTTCACAACAGACCAGCAAAAATGCCTCAACATAGAAAGAACATTCCGCAACACGTGTGATTTTCTGTATGGGGCAGTGCAGATCACATGACACACCAGCAAAAATGGCTCAATAGAAGTTTCCAAAGCAGCTAAAATCCCTCAAAGAAGAAGTCACACCAGCATAAATCCCTCACAGGAAGTCCTCACTAGCTAAAATCCCTCACAATTTACTATATAAGGAGGTCATTCCTCCCTCCTCAGATCAGTTCCTCATGCCAATCCGGCACATCTACCAGCTACACACATCCCACTCAGAGTCTTCAAGTCAACTTAAGTTAAAATCCAACAGTGTGATCTCAATCAGGTGGCCCATCAACATCTTTCATACCTCAGGAAGCATAGAAGAAGTCAAGTAGCAAGTATCACCCCTTGTGCTCTTAACACGTCAAAGTGATCTTAACCCATTTTTTCTCTTAACTGAAGGTCAAGGAGGAGGGCAAAGACACTTTGAATAGTTCATATCTTATCATCAGTATTCTCTCAGTCTTTTTCATATCAACATTTACTTTACTTCACTCATATAAACATATAAAAACATACAAAAATATCTCCCAGCTTTTCAACTCTTTCCCTTATCTGATTCCAGACTTCTGTAAACCACGCCAAATCCTTTTCCACTCAAAATTCCACTAAGTCTCAGCTGATTTCACGTTGATCTAGGTTTGATAAGAGACTGCTACATATAGTTTTCTCCATCAACAGTTTTTGCCACAACAATAAAAATAAATTTGTTGTCAGAATTCTAGAGTAGTACATTAGAGGGGCAGGTCTTTCAAACCACCCGTAACAGTTGTAATAAAATCATACATACCTGAAATATCATAACTGCTATTTCCCCCTCGCAGGACTGCCATCCATCCCAAAGGAGTTCTCACATCTGGTGTCCCAACAGTGGCCGAAAAACTTTCAGACGATCAACAATAACTCTCCCTCAGCCCCAGAAGACTAGATAAAGTGGATAACAACAAGGATACAACTTCGTCTGGCAAAAACCGTGAATTCTTTGACCGGGAAGCCAACACTGCAGAAGGATCATCAAGGACTAAACAAGAACATAGGTCAAAGGAAAGGGAAGTAATTGCGGAGGTTTTCAAGAAATTCTTCCCAGATCTCAAACCAGGAACAACAATGTCTACCCCAGAAGAATCAAACATGGAGCAATCAGCAATAATCCTTAAACAGCAAGCTCAGATAACAAAGATGGAAGATTCAATGCAGAGCTTACAAGAAACAGTAAACCTATTGCTTAAACAAAGCACCGCACCGCAGCAAACACCGTTACCAGACAGTCCTCCCATCCGTGCACCTAGATTAAGGTTTTCAACATCAACACCATTTGATGACAGGACCCAGGTACTGGACACAACAATTGGGGCAGGGGATGACTCATTCCTGGCATCCGGAGAAGGTTCACCCGCTAGCCAGGCAAGACCAAAGACCAACATCAAATTACCAGATGAGCAAAAAGGGGTGATGTTAGATGCAAAGAAAACAAACCTTCATTTTGACGGAACGGAAGTAGAAATATTTATCAAAAGAGTAGAAAAAGTGGCGTTTATACAAAATGCCGGGACAGTCGATCTGGCTTTCCAGCTTCCGCTTATTATCAATAACAAGAAAATTAGTGAAGCTATAGAACAAATGGAGGGACACGAAACTGGTAACTGGGAGCTTCTCAAGAAAGAGCTAATTCGTAAATGGGGGAGAGCCACTCCTTTCCGCAAGTATAGAGAAGATGCAATTCCACGCCTGGTCCAGAAGGCTCAAGAGTCTCACGGTATCAAATCCAGAGTAGAATATAGGAAATTCGTTGGCGAATTAGAAGAGATGACGGATTATTTCACTCGAATGGACTACAGCCATCTGAACCCAGAAAGTGGCAATCCGCTTTGGAGTGCTCTGTCAGCAGAATTGAAGAAGGAGGTAACCAAAGAGCTGGCGCACGCCAAGAAGCTCCAGAAAACCAAAGACGGTCGTAATATAATTCCTGAGTTAGATACCCTCAAAGAATACGTAGAAATGGCTCTGATAATTATAGACTTCGATGAAGACGAATCCCCGGCGGTAACGGCGGAAGCTACTAAAAAGAAAGTTAAAATTCAGGATCCCCAAGAGACAGAAGATCTGAAGGAAACAGTGAAGAAACTCAATAATGCACTGGAACATCAAACCAGGGCAGCCCCGCCGCATCTTAGTAGACCATCGTCACCAGGCTTTGGGGAAGCAAGACCTCGACCCACGTTCCTGGAGTGTTTTTACTGCAAAGAAAGACACACTCTTTCTCAGTGTGAATTCTATACCCAAGATATGCAAGATAGAAAGATGTTCAGATATCAAGGAGTTTATTATTACCCAAACAGACAACCAATTGTAGTAGAAAAAGAATGTTCTGTAAGGCAGATGGTTCAGAGATTCCATGATGAACAGAACAATAAACCTGCTCAAAATTCCGCACCTCCGGAAGCAACATCAGCTGTCATAGAACTAGAAGAATGGGGATCTTGGCTACCACCACAAGCAAAAATAAATGAAGAAGAATTACAGACTAACATAGGTTTTGGCCTTAGAAAGTCCCAGAGGCTGCAAGAAAAGAATCCCCAGGCGAGTAGTCAACCCATACCAAATAAACCGCAAGAGACCATAAGTCAAACTCCACCACCAAATCAAGAGGCGTTGAAACCTGCGGCAAGGAGAAAGAGCTTCCCAGGATCCTGGATGGAGGAGGAGGAAACTGAGGAAGAGCAGGTCATACAGCGTAGAACCGTCACACCGCCACGTGAAAAATCCATGCCAGCTAATGAAGGGAACCGGGAGAAACAGGAGGAGTCTACCAGTAAACTAGACAAATCAATACGGAATAAGTTCTATAAGCAAACCTACACACTCACCTTGGAAGAAATTGTGAAAATTGCACCACACTTTTTGAAAGGATTACAAGATTCGCAATCTGATTTGGATACACCAGTAAAAGGGGCTCATAATGTAGAATTAAATTGTTCACCGGGACTAGAAATCAGAGATGACGATGCGGATACCAGTCTTACTTATGCGTGCCCGGTAGGAATGGTAGACATGACCATTAACAAAAGAAAAATAAGGACTCTAGTAGATACAGGGGCTGAAATGAATATCATTCCAGACACTCTGGCAGATCAGTTAGGGCTAGTAACTACAGAAATATTCATGCGCCTCAAGGGCATTGGGGGTCACTTTACCCCAATTGTAGGGCTAGCAGAAAATATACCAGTCAGCGTCCTCCCAGGGTACATTCACTTAGCTAATTTCTTCGTAGTAAGAGGATCAGTTCATACTGTCTTGGGCCGGCCATTCCTAGCGGATCATAATATAAGGTTAGAATTGTCCAATCAGAAAGGAGAGGTACTGAGCTTCCCCGACGCAGATGGAAGAAGGATCTGTATACCCATTTGTTTACCAAGCGCACCGGGTTGGCACAAAGAACCCCCCACTCTTAGGCAAAATTGCTCCTTTCAAGTAGTGGATTGGGACCTTTTGGACCAAGTTAATGATAAGGAGGCAAGCGTCAAGACTGAAGAAATCCCAATAATTGATTGGGAACAGCTGGAGAAACTAGAAAGCCAAGAGGATACTGTGAATCTCAGTCCCGTAAAAGCTACAAATACACCTGAAAACACACTTTCAGTCCACAGCCACGTAGAAGAAGTTGTACCAGAAGAGGATCCATGGAGGGTTCGTCTTGCAGAAACAGTGGATTGGGTTAAAGAATTGGGAGGGGCCACCTTCACTGCGGAGGAACAACAGATTATTAATGAACAGCTTCTAGCTTCTGATGCAGCATGGGCGACACATCCAATGGCTGTTAGTACTGGATTCAGTTGGTATTGGGTGGAATTCTATATCCCACGCAGGTTCAGGGAAGTATTTGACAAGACCAACAGGCCCAAGCGAGAAAGGAAGGCACAAGATTGGTTAAGGGAGTTACCCGGTGGCTTCTCAGATTCTCTGGACTTTCTGCAAATCTTAAGTTATATAGGGGAAAGAGCATTCATTAAAGAAGGTTCCTGGACCTCCAGGTTTGGTTTTGTTAGTAGTCACGTGAGACAAAAGTTATATTCCAGAGGAGGAAAAAAATGGTATAGGACTCATGTATCTGGGCCTAGGGCCAAAGCAGAAAAACAAAAGAAGAAACATGGCCCCACTAATTATGGGAAGCCATACATCTGTTAGGAAATTTTTTTGGAAAATAGTTTTTTTTTTAGAAAAAGAGCAGAGGAAAGCTTAGGGAAAAAATCAGAGGTGAAACAAGAGGGATGGGTTGATTTTGGTAGGAAAGTAGGGATTCTGTGATGTATAAAAAAAAAAAAAAAAAGAGAAAAGAAAAGAAAAAGAAAAAAAAAACATTTTCTTTGCTTCTGTTACTCAAGATCTTCATAGCCTACAGTCAGCTAGAATGAAAAGTCCAGCTCTGCTTCATTTGGGCTGCAGATAGATGTCATTGTGTAAAAGATAGGTCATAATAACAATAAGTTACTAGCCAAGTGAAATATATAGATAAATGTAAAAAAAAAAAAAAAAAACTCACTAGAACTGGTGTGTTTCCACATACCACTCTTGAGCAGAAAGCAGTGCTTGACTAACAACCTCGATGAGCTCCCACTCGCCGCGCAAGGGGCTGAAACCAGTAAGGAATGGCTCAAGTACCCTGAAGAGATGAAGGACCGCTGCTCTGAATTGCATACGAGGATCATGTAAAGGGAGATTCATCGTTAGAATGGGAAGAAGGGGATCAATACCGGCATCGGGGGCAGGGGCAGGGACTAGTTCCAGATGTGTAGAAAAAGGATTCGGATGGTCAAACGCAAAGGGGTAGTTATCGGCCGGGAAAGATAAGACAGTGTTGAGGAAGGTATTGGTGGCGCTGATCAGTGGTCAATTTAGAAGAGGACGAGGAATCAAGACTCATATGAGGCGAGCCAGACGGGATATCACCGGTCTTGGCGATCGGCCGTTTGCCTTTAGGCCGACTAGCTATGAAACGCCCTTTGGCATCTCTGGGACGGAACCAAACAGGCTCCGGTTTGGGTGAAGAGCACCCTGAGAAACGGACTCGATCGGCGCGAGGCTTGGATCGCTTCTTGCAGGCTCGGGGAGGGATATAGGTTGTGTCTTTTGGGTCGTCAGGAAAGCTCGCCAGCGAGATTCCCGATTCTGAGACCCAGGGGAAGATAGATCGGTCACGTAAGCAAGGGGAGAAACATATAGGTTATACATGAAGGAATACAAGCGAATAAGTACACACCGATATCAGAATCATAAGCCTCTTTCATCGCTTGGGGCAGCAGGCTGGGATCGACGTGAGATACAATAGTGTGACCTAAATCTTTCCAGTCGGTAGTATCGGATAAGGTGTTGATAGGGATAGGGGTCGGTGAGCTATGGCCTGTGGGAAGTTGGCATAAGGAAATCAGTACCCGATTAACAGAAGCTGCAAAACTAAGAGGAGAAAGGAGACGAACCACGCTCAGATTCTAGCGCTTCGCCCGATTCGAGACGAGCATCAATGTCGGAGGGGTAACCCAACTCATCTATGTACTCTGATGGGGGGGAAGCTAGAACATAAAAAAAAAGCGAAGAGGCGAGGCGATCAGTATGAGGTGAAAAGAAACGACCGGCAGAGCGCACTACTTACAGCTATCGAGCTCGTACTCAGCGTCTCGATCAGAAGAGTGAGCGATAGAATCAACATCTGGGGCTGGAGGTTCAATTGGAGCCAACGAGCAGTGGTCGTTAAAAGCTCCGCCTAGATTAGAACCAACCACACCAGGTAGAGTCAACGGACAAGGTTTTTTATAAGCAAAGAGAAAAAGAAAAAGGAAAACAAACCGGGTTCCGATTCTAGGATTTCGCCCGATTCAAGTTGATAGTCAACCTCCGAGGAACACAATTCATCAGTGTACTCCGAGGAGCGGGTAGCTAAGCATATAGATATAAAAGGGGCGGGACGGTCAGTGTGATTAGAGGAGGTGCCAACGGAAGCTGGTACTACTTACAGCTGTCAATCTCATACTCCCAATCTTCATCCGATAAACGAATGTCCGGTTCAGCATCTTGGGCTGGAGGGGTGATCGCGGCCAACAAGCGATTGCGGCGATCATTAAAGGTGTCGCCTAAAAGAGAAACAACTAGCTCGATTAGAGTTAAAAGACAGGAATATAGATCAGCATTACAGAAAAAAAGGACGTACCTGGATGAAGATTCTCGGCTACAATCGCGGCCGGTACTGTGTACACACAATCGGGTATCAGCTGACAATCATAGGAGATCAGCAAGAGAATATTTCATGTACTTACCATGATCGGAGATCCGCTCATGGGGAGAGCTTCCAGCGGATGAGTCTGAGATAGGGAAAAAGAAGGTAGGAAATCAGCATTCGGAAGACCAGCCACAGAGTCATTAAGATAAAGAACCGATGGGGAGAACCTACGGATAAGAGTTCCATCGAAGATCGACCTGATCATAGCTCTCAAGCGAGGGGGAGTATGGATCGAGCCGAATGATGTAAAGGAATCGCCATCCTCGTCAAAAGAATTGACAGGGGAGTTTTCCGAGGAGATCGAGTAATAACTATAGTGAGGGGAGTGAGGATTCATGTCAGACATGTTGTCTCATGAAGCAATGAGTAATGAAGGAAAGTAGTCACCAGACGCAAAGAGACCGGCCTCTTATAGCCAATGGAGAACCTTGTTTGTTGGTCCTCGTGCTCTGAACCAACACTCTAGGGGGAGCCGATCGGTCAGAAGCTCGAATACCCACCAGGAAGCGACGGGGCAGGGCTAGAAGCATTCATAACGATCGTGTTGAGGAAGCATGCGTATTTCGAATGGGATCGACAGTGGGCAGCAGAGGGCGGGGACTCGTCACAGTGCCTGCATTAATGAAGAAGAAGGCGGATGTCGGTGTTCAATTCAAAATCAAAGGTTGAAGAGAAGGGAGGCGCTTTGATGGAAAGAAGTGGGGTGGAACAATAAATAGCAACACCACACCTTGTATAATTTCGAAGCTATGTACGGTGAAGGTAGATTTGCTTTGGAATTGGGCCCATACACCGATCGGGAGGAGAAGGGCCCGGTAGAGTACTGAAAACAACAGGATACCTTGGATTAGAAGCGGAACTCTATGTTCCTATCAGAAGAGTGGCGGGGAGCACGTACTTGAATTAGAAGCCAGCGCCAAACGTAGTGATCGTAAACCAGTAGACGAGGGAGATAGAGCTGACACGGCGCATGAATTAGGATATCACGACATTCTAGAGGTATCCGGAATTTGGTTGTACGGCAATTGGAGTACCTGGGGGGAGTCTTTTTCATTGGCGATAGGAGTTTTAGCTATTCGAGGGAATGAATGAGAAAACACCAGGGGAGTTTGCTCAGCACCTGCTTTCAAGTGCCATCGCGTAGTATTCATCTGGAACCCTGTCAGATGTCTCCTAGAACCTTACCCTCATTTGATGTTGAATTTGTGCTGAATTCATGCTGAACTTATATGATCAACTTATCTGAATTCATATTGAAAATGGGTTGAATTCAACTTGGAACAATCTTCAACTTGACTATATACACAATTGGAACTCTTCTAGAACAAAATCTGCATTGTCAAGCATCAGGTCAGGTTTTTAGTAAAAATGAGATTTTTAAATAGCTCAATACATCAAAAAATTATCCATATTCTAACAGCTGGTAAGTATATATTCCACTGGTTGAAGGCAACAGACATGGTTTCCATGTGGTTATTCATATGCTTGAATTTTACATATTATTGGCTTGGTTTTGCCATGTAAACATGAATCTATCTGTTTTACTTTGGCTCTGCACATACCAATCACTTACCATATTTGGAGTTTCTCCAGTGGCATTTGGATCAAGCAGTTGGCAAAAGATACGTGATTTTTATGCTAGTACATGGGTCAGATTATTATAAAATTAACCAACTATTTTCTGGTGTGTATTATGTAATGGACTTGAAGGATTGGTTTGATCCATGAAAATGTTAAATTATCAACTGGTCTTTGAACAGCACTGCAGAGTATAAGTAACACCTTGTTTCAAAAAATCAAATAAAAATTGCAAGTTTCTAGCCATACTACCAAATTGTATAAACACTGAATGTTTTCAGATTTGGCTTGATGTTTCTCAAAAGTGCTTAATACCAGATGTTCCAATGTGCAAAAACCCAATTGATCGTGAGTTGCATGGGTGAACTTCCCAGTGGATTACCACATGAAAGCAAACACTCATAATTTTGGGAAATGTAAATAATCTTATTTCTATCACATAATTTCTGTTGGCATGTAAAGAGCCTGATAGATAGTTTATGCACTAATGATTTGTTTCATGGCAACTGCAAATCAGATTATTTGTATGGATATGCATACATATCACTGCAGGATTGTCAGGAAAACCAAAGCTCAATTTGGGGTATGCAGAGAGCAGATTTTGAGTATTTTGTAACCTTTGAAATATTGAGGTGATGGTGCTATGACAAACAGTCATTGCATCACATATTTTCAGACCGATCTTTATAAAAAATTGAAGTGAATTGAGAGCATTGAAGAAGAGCGGAAAAGCAGTATTGAAACTTAGTTGAGGTTATTGGTTGTAGTATGAAATATGTACCTATCACTGAAGAAATTGAGAAGTGCAATCATAGAGAAATCGGAGAAAAGATAAATTAGAACAAAAATAAATTAGAGTCAAAAAAGCAGAAATCAGAAGAAAACAATGGATATGCGGAAAAAAACCAAAGATAAGAACACAGAAGGTAGCTCATTCATTTAAGTTTTTTTTTTTTTATTCTCTTTTTCAATACGTTTTTCAGCTTCTTCTATTTGTACCTTCTGGCCAGCTATTTTAGTATCAGAGTTAATGTATTCAACAACAGCTTTAGACATTTTTTGAGACATCTGGCAAGAGAAACCAATCCTTGTATACTTGTCAGATGGTGAAGCACCATCCAAGGTCTGATGAACTTCTTCCTGGGATCTGAAGACACACATGGTGACCCCTACAACTTCATTCAAGTCAATATAGACCTGAAAATCGCGAAAAGTAAACTGACCACCAATCATGTCAAAGCCCTCATCAGCTAAAATTGGATCATTGTCTTTACAGTTTCGAGGGTTGAAGATTGGAATCCAGCAGACTAGGGTCCAGTTGTTGACATCAGTATCCTTGTGGGGTTCGTTGTAGAAGTTGTACATCGTGAAAGTGAAGAAAGAGGCAAAGTCAAACATGGTGTAAGGGGAGGGATATTCCATGTGAGCCATTGAAGGGAGTTGGCCATCAATAAGAGCTTCACGATACTCTTTGAATGCACGGGGAGCAAGTTGTTTGAGGTGTGTAGCGATCCATTTGTTAGCCTCTTCAAACGCAGAAGCCTCGTCCTTGGCGTTAAATTGAGACCTCCTGATCATAGCAGCCAGCCGTTCGACAGAACAATATCTTCCAAAACCTTCTTTTTTTTTTGAGCTCTTCCGCCACCCACAGGCCCACATTATACCGCCCATGGAAGGTCCGTTGTTTTTCACTGGCGCCACATATTTGGTTTGTTGGAGAAAAAAGCAAACCAGTTTTTCCCAACCTTGAAGCTCCTCAGACGACATGGAGGAGAAGGGAGTTGTTTTGAATTTGCAAAAGGCTGGCATGTTTCGTGGGGCAATGACACAGGTTCCATGGGAGAGGCCAGTATAGTGCGAAAGGAGGGTCTCTTGGGAAGTGAGGATTTCGGAGGGGTTTGGGTCATGTTGACGGCTGGGTGGTATAAAGTAATAGAAGGGTTTGTTGGAATGGCCCGCGGTGGTGATTGTTTCATCTACTTCAGGTGTTGGAGTTGATTCACCATCGTTGGCGGGAAGAATGAATGAGGATTCAGCCTTTTCGCGGAATCTGGCCCAACGCTTGGACGCCCTGCCAGGACGGGTTCTATTTCTGGAGCTGGACAACAGATTCAAAGATTTGGGAAGTCAGTTTTGGTTTGAACAAATGAGGAAGGGGGTGGTGTGGTGGGAGATGGGGTACTGTAGAAGTGAGTGAGTGGGTGCAAAGTATGCTTGCCCCCAGCCCGCTCCTACAGATGAGATGAGAGAAGAAAAATGAAATAAAAAATGAAAGATGGGTGCAAATGATGCTTGCCCCCAGAACAGAATAAAGAAGAGAGAGGAAATTGGGTGCAAATGATGCTTGCCCCCAGAACAGAATAAAGAAGAGAGAGGAAATTGGGTGCAAATGATGCTTGCCCCCAGAACAGAATAAACAAGAGAGAAGGAATTGGGTGCAAATGATGCTTGCCCCCAGAGAAATATAGAAAGAGGAGAAGAGTAGGAATGAAAGCTGAAGAGAGTTGAGACAGAAAAATACAAACCCAGACAGTAAATAAGGGTGGTTTTTGGATCGAGGTGCTTGTGGAAATGGAATAACGGCGGAGCACTCCAAATGGTTTGATAGTTTACCGGGATCTTGTGATGAACCGATTGGGATGAACGATGTAGAAGCAAGGCCATATGATTGAGGAATTGAAGAGTGGTGCTGATGATAAGGCACTGTATCAAAGTGGCTGGCATCTGAATACAAAATTGGGTTTAGCACTCTCAGGTTTCTCTGGTAGAATAGAAACAGATTCATTAGATTACTCACAGTTTGGATGTGAAAGATCCGAAGAGAATTCAATTTGAGTCGGTTGGTGGTTTGAGGTAGAGAGTGAGGAGTGGAAAGATAGTGGGTTGTTGGTGTTTGTATGAGACATGACAGATCCTTGAAAACTGGTGGAGAGGATGTTGAAGAAATCATCAGGATTTGAATAATATGATGATCTACTGAGAGAAAAAGTAGAAAAAAACTCACCTGTTCATGTTCAAGTGCGTAGTTGCAACCGGGAGAAGAGTTTTGATTTCCTTGTAAGTTCATCGGAGCAGCCGGACTGTATGATGCAGTGTAGGGTGAATAACTTGAAGTGACTGATGGTTGTTGAAGGTTTTGGTTGTAATGTGCCGGGAGCGGAGTAGGAAAGAGGTTGGGGGTAGGCAATTCAACGGCTGGAAAATGTGGCCCGGATGTTGCGAAGTGGTTTGAGAGGAAGGCTTTATGAATAGGGAGCGGAGGGTGGATAGGAAAGTTTGTGTTTGCAGGAGCTGGAATAATTGTTGGATGTTGGCTCATATGGCCACAATTAGTGAAGGAAGATGGCGG